GATACATATTGAGGATATACTCCTAAGTGAAATAAATAAGTCACACGTGTAAATACCGAATAGTTTCTCTGGTGTGAAAAACTATAATAGTACATAAGATCCTAATGAGATAATTGACAATGTGAAATAAGAAGAAAAGGGCTAAAGGTGTAGGGAAAGTGTAGGGGAAAGGTAATAAGGGAAAAGAAAAAATTAGGAGAAAATGAAAAAATGGAAATAAAGTGTTTGTAAATGGGGAGGGAAGGAGGGGGTGAAGGGAAGGCAGGGACAAGGGGAAAACATGAGAACCAAGACCTGTCATGTGAAGGTACAAGATCCCAGTAATGAATGTAACTGTACTGTACGCCTAAATGTGCCAATAAACTCAGTGAGGAAAAAAGAAATGCAAATTGTCCAGATATAGTAAGTCAGAATCCCACTTAAGGTGATGTATGCTAACGAGCAAGGGCCATTTGTTTAGACATTCAGTAAAGAAACGTCAGATGAGCTGTGCAACTTTCTATGAATTTTACTATTCATTCGATTTGCCTATTATCATCTGAATGCTTATTGGATTTAACAGACAACTACATATTCATTGTCTAAGAGTGATGGCGAACCTTTGGGACTGAGTGCCCACACTGCAACCCCAAACTCACTGATTTGCAGAGAAGCGCCAACACAGCAATTGAAGCTGAGTACAGAAGGGAAAGGAATAAATATGAGAAAGGGAAAAAATGGAAACACAGTCTTTATAAATAGGGAAGGGTGGAGGGGTCAAAGGGAGGGCAGGGGAATAGGGAACAAACAAAAACCAAGATACACAATCAAAGGTACAAGTTCCCAGGGATGAATGTAACTGTATTGTATACCTAAAATGTACCAATAAACTCAAAGGGGAAAAAAAGCTAAATATTGAGGTTTTAGTTTAGAAAAAACAGCCTTTATCCAATACTCAACTTCTTGGTTGAATTGGCTCATGTGCTGACTGTGGCACATGTGCCATAGGTTTTGCTACCACTGGTCTAAGACATCCATGGTCAAAATTTATTTATAGGTATATATGTATATATGTGTATATATAAGCATATATATGTATATGTTTATATATGTGTGTGTATACATATGTATATGTAAATATATATATATACATATATATATGTATATATATATATATGCATGACTTGGTATTGTAAATAAACAGTATAGAAAAGAGAAAAGTGGATTTTTTAGTTTTCTGAAAGGATACTAACCTCAACTCCCTCTACCCATATTCCAGTGAAAGAATTAAGGTGTAGAAAAGCAACACTACTATTACTACTAACAACAACAACAACAAAATGACTATTAGTAGCATTATTTTGTTTCTTTGACATAATAGGAAGATGTTATTAGCTAATCTAAACATACCTTATCACTTGTAGATATATACTCACAGTTTGTGTGTTTTGGGTGAACAGCTATTATCCAAGACTTAAAAAGAACTATTAAAGGGCTGGGGATTTAGCTCAGTGGTTTCACTGCCTGCCTTGCAAGCGCAAGGTCCCGAGTTCGATCCCCAGCACCAAAAAGAAGAAAAGAACTATTAAAGGGCTGGGGATTTAGCTCAGTGGTTTCACTGCCTGCCTTGCAAGCGCAAGGTCCCGAGTTCGATCCCCAGCACCAAAAAGAAGAAAAGAACTATTAAAACACCTAAGGGCAAATAGACTTTCTGTTTTCCTTTTGGTACCAGGGACCGAACTCGGGACCTGTGCTTGCAAGGCAGGCAGCAGAACCACTGCACTAAATCCCCAGCCCGACATTGTTTTTATTTGTAGCTAAACCACCGTACTTGCTCCAAATCTATTTCTTGCACTAGTATACTACAGAAATACAATAAAATTGTTTGCTGAAACTTCATGTAATAACATCCTCAAAAGGCATATTTATTTATTTACTTATTTATATTTTTATTTTTTTGAGACAGGGTTTCACTATGTAGTTGAGGCTGACCTGGAACTCACTATGTAGCCCAGGATGATCTTGAACTCACAGCGATCCTCCTGCCTCAGCCTCCTGAGTGCTGGGATTACAGGCATGTGCCATCATGCCCTGCTTTCAAAAGGTATATTTAGAATCAAGTGATTTTGTTTAAACATTTAGGCATAGATTGTGAAGCACTGTAGATGATTATATGCATACAGAAATGAATGTATGATCCAACCCATGTTTATAAAGTTAAATTTTCTGCTACATACATTTTTAAATTTTATTTATTTATTTACTTGATAACAGGGATTGAACTCAGGACCTTGTGCTTGGGAGGCAGGCAGTGCAACCACTGAGCTAAATTCCTGGCCCTACTACATACATTTTATTTATTTAGTTGTCTGTTTGTTTGTTTATTTATTTATTTGAGACAGGGTCTCACTGTATACTTGAGACTGACCTGGAACTCACTGTGTAGCCCAGGCTGGTCTTGAACTCACAACAATCCTCCTGCCTCAGCTTCCTGAGTGCTGGGACTACAGGTGTGTGCCACCACGCCCAGCTAAGGCCATTTATTTTTAGGAAAAAGGAAAAAGGATTTATTCAAAGCTAGCCTGGAACGGATATAGGGGCTCATTTGCCTCAAATCACCATCTCACCTTATACAGGTGCGTTATGGTCTTTCATACCAAGGAACAGTCAGAGGAGGGGATATAATGAAAGAACAGATACGTTCAGGGTTGCTTCTTCCCTCCCTGGAAATGAAACTGGACTTGACCTCCCAGTGCCAACATCTGCAAATTCTATCCCTTAGATATCCAAAACGTGAGTTCATGTTCTCTAAAATTGAAGAATGAATTCTAGGAACAATAGAGGTTAAGAGAAAGAAAAACTTATTGAGGGAAAGAAAGCATCTAAGAGAGACAAAAGGGGGACCAAAAAGTGGGTTGCCTGCTCACCCTGCTTTTCAAAGATGTTTTATACAGCAAAGCCATGTAGTGAGGTGGGTGCTCAGTGGGACAAAACTATAAGATCCAATGGAACTTTACAAGGTGAGCATGAGGTGGGACAAAACCATGACCAACCAATAAGATTACAAGTGCAGTTATCCAGGTAATATTTATTAAATGGGGATCAAATGGGGAAACTGTATACACAGAATTTTCCATTAAGAATATCAACTATTACTATCTCTAGGGGAAGTAGTGTCTCTTCCTTTTTAAGATGATAACCAGTGAATGTGCCTTGTTTTCCATGTTGGCTCCTTGCTGTGTTGGCTCCTGCAGGGCTGGCACCTTGAGGACTGAGGTCTTTCAGGCTGGCACCCTGAGGGAGGCCCTGTCTAACTGCCTACGCCTACAAGATATCTAACTAATTAACCTATCTGCAATAAGATGAGGGTAGACTTTTATGCCCTAGGACAAGGGCAATTTGGAAAAGCCAGTTGTTTCTAAAGGGAATTAAAAAAAAATCTAGGGGATTTAGCTCAGTAGTTCCACCACCTGCCTCACAAGCGCAGTTCGATTCCTTTTTTTAAAAAAAAAAAAAAAGTGTTTAAAAAAAAGGGCTGGGGATTTAGCTCAGTGGTGCTGCCACCTGCTTCATAAGCATCAAGGTTCTGAGTTTGATCCCTGTACAAAAAAAAAAAAAATCTAACTTTTAAAAAAGTTCCATTTTGTGGTACCAGTTGTAGAGACAATTTTTATTTAAAATTAGTAACACTTAAATTATACCAAATATTAAGGTTTCCATAACCTTAATATTACAATCTTTTTTCTTTTCTTTTTAATAGCAAAACATATATTGGTACATTTTAGGCATACATAAGGCTAAGACTTATCATAGGGAATTTGCACCTGAACATGATACCTGACCATCAGTTTTTATACTAAAATGATAAAAAATTTTAAATTTTAAATTCAATGTCTTGATCACACTAGTCACATGAGAAATACTACCACATAGGGTAGAGCACTTTTGGAACTATGCAAGATGGACTTGGTGAAGAATTTCAGCTTTTGCAATCCAGGAATGCTAGTGCACCTGCTTGCAAGGCCCCTATGTTCACTAAGTTCATAGTCAGTTGGGGTAAAAACAATAATAATAATAATAATAATAATAATAATAATAATAATAATAATAATAAATTAAAGGGCTGTAAATGTAAGTCAGTGTGAAGGTCCTGGGTTCAATCCGTAATACTGAAAAGAAATAAAAAGAAAAAATAATCTGACTTTGCCTTTCAGTTGGCTGCTTGGCCTGAGGTAGTTTGATCCTCTCCAAGCTTCAGTTTTAAACAGCGAAAGGAGGTTGCAGTCATTTCGTTTCAGCTTCTGTCTGCTCAATCAGCAGCAAAAGAGAAACTAGTTTTTCCTTTCATGGTAGCGGTGGTGGACTTATAGCATAGCCTATAAAATTAAAATAGAACTAATCGAGATGCCCACAATATAAGAATAAATAAATTAACCAATACTCTGCAGCCATAGAATACTATTTATTAGAAGTCACTAATCAATATTAAACTAAATTAAGAAAAGACTCACAATATTAAAAGGAAGACAGCTATCGGTGCAGAGAAAAATCTAGAAGCATCCGCCACCATATTAACAGCACTTAGAGGAAGCAACTGGGTGGGGGTGGGGATGTGGTTCCAGGCAGTTCATTTCCAATTTTTTTTTCCTAAAGAGGGGTTATTTTGTATTTTAAGACACATCTCTCATCTTTGAAACACTATACTTTTACCTCATGGTCTGGAATTTTTATATTTTTTGGTACTGGGGATCGAACTCGGGACCTTGCGCTTGCGAGGCAGGCGGTGAAACCACTGAGCTAAATCCCCAGTTCAGGAATACAATTTTTAAAATAAACTGTGCTGAAGAGAAAGGTCTATTTGAAAATACTCCCCTCAGACCCAACAACACTACTCCCCCTTAACTCAGCTTTCGGTTGGCTGTTTCCCGCCAGCGGAACGCAACTGCCTTTGACGTCACAAGAGGCCGACGCTTCCAGTTCCCATAGTGAAGTCTTTGCGGCCATTTTTACTGTGGTCAAATCAAAGAAATCTTGTTGTGATAGGGGTGGAGCAGCACGCAGTCTGCGAAATAACAGATGAGAAAAAAAAATCAAGCGTCTCAGTAAGAACCAGGAATTACTGGGAGAGTGAAACGCTAGTTACGTTAGTAAGACCTTTAGACGCATGTTCCGCGGAGAAACGGAACTATTCTACTGGGTCTCTAAGGTTCCTGCCCGGATTTTGACAGTCGCTTCCGTTGCTCAGCGGAAGCGTGGGTCGCAGAGGACAACTCTGGGAAGAACCCGCTATCGTCTGTGTGAAAAACTAGAATCATGTCGAGTTTGTCAGTGAGAGACCCGGCAATGGATCGATCACTGCGTTCCGTGTTCGTGGGAAACATTCCGTATGAGGCAACTGAGGAGCAGTTGAAGGACATTTTCTCGGAGGTTGGTTCCGTTGTCAGTTTCCGGCTCGTATATGATAGAGAGACGGGAAAGCCCAAGGGTTATGGCTTCTGCGAGTACCAAGACCAGGAGACCGCGCTTAGTGCCATGAGAAACCTCAATGGGCGTGAGTTTAGTGGGAGAGCGCTTCGGGTGGACAATGCTGCCAGTGAAAAGAATAAAGAGGAGTTAAAGAGCCTCGGGCCTGCCGCGCCCATCATTGACTCTCCTTATGGGGATCCCATCGATCCAGAAGATGCTCCCGAATCGATTACCAGAGCAGTGGCCAGTCTTCCTCCAGAGCAGATGTTTGAGCTGATGAAGCAGATGAAGCTCTGTGTTCAAAACAGTCACCAGGAAGCTCGAAACATGTTACTTCAAAACCCACAGCTGGCTTACGCACTGCTGCAGGCACAAGTAGTCATGAGAATCATGGATCCTGAGATTGCTCTGAAAATTCTCCATCGAAAGATACACGTCACCCCACTGATCCCAGGCAAATCTCAGTCTGTCTCTGGCCCCGGCCCTGTGTCTGGCCCTGGCCCTGTCTCTGGCCCTGGCCCTGTTTCTGTCTCTGGGCCTGGCCCTGGACTTTGCCCAGGACCCAATGTTCTGATGAACCAACAGAATCCTCCAGCTCCTCAGCCTCAGCATTTGGCGAGAAGACCTGTGAAAGACATTCCTCCTCTGATGCAGACTCCTATCCAGGGTGGAATTCCAGCTCCGGGGCCAATAGCAGCTGCGGTTGCAGGACCTGGACCTGGTCCTGGTTCCTTAACTCCTGGAGGGGCAATGCAGCCACAAGTTGGAATGCCAGGAGTTGGTCCTGTCCCTTTAGAGCGGGGACAAGTGCAGATGTCAGATCCTAGAGCTCCTATTCCTCGAGGCCCCATGAGTGCTGCTGGCTTACCTCCTCGAGGACTGTTAGGAGATGCTCCAAATGATCCACGTGGGGGGACTTTGCTTTCAGTTACTGGAGAAGTAGAACCCAGAGGTTACATGGGTCCACCTCATCAGGGTCCTCCCATGCACCATGCCTCTGGTCATGATAACCGTGGCCCTTCTGCACATGATATGAGAGGAGGGCCAATAGCAGATGCCAGACTGCTTATTGGAGAGCCCAGAGGACCCATGCTAGATCAAAGGGGTCTACCTATGGATGGCAGAGGAGGTAGAGAGTCTCGAGGGATGGACACTCGAGTGATGGAAACTGACGTTTTAGAGACTCGAGTAATGGAGAGAAGAGGAATGGAGACCTGCGCTATGGAAACCAGAGGGATGGAAGCAAGAGGCATGGATGCAAGAGGATTAGAAATGCGGGGGCCTGGCCCTACTTCCAGAGGTCCTATGACTGGTGGAATCCAGGGTCCTGGCTCCATTAATATAGGGGCAGGTGGCCCCCAGGGACCTAGACAGGTCCCAAGCATTTCAGGAGTGGGGAATCCTGGAGGTGGCATGCAGGGAGCAGGCATGCAGGGGGCAGGGATGCAGGGAGCAGGCATGCAGGGGGCAGGGATGCAGGGGGCAGGCATGCAGGGGGCAGGCATGCAGGGGGCAGGCATGCAGGGGGCAGGCATACAAGGAGGAGGAATGCAGGGGGCAGGCATACAAGGAGGAGGAATGCAGGCAGCAAGTATGCAGGGGGGAAGCAAGCAAGGTGGAGGCCAGCCTAGCAGCTTTAGTCCTGGGCAGAGTCAGGTAACTCCACAGGATCAGGAAAAAGCAGCTTTGATCATGCAGGTTCTCCAACTGACTGCTGATCAAATTGCCATGCTGCCTCCAGAGCAAAGGCAGAGTATCTTGATTTTAAAAGAACAAATCCAGAAATCTACTGGAGCTTCTTGAAAAGTTTTGGAAAGTATTTGGGTTAAGTTGCATAAAGTTAATTCAGTAGTGTAGAATATGAGTACAAAAAGTTGACTTCTGCACCCCATGCATTATTGATTTGTTTTTCCTCCTCCTAGAACCTAATCTCATTTCTTCTTGTCTTTTTTTTTTTTTTTTTTTTTAATTGAGGGTAGGGATAAGAGGGAGTTGGTCTGTTCATTTTAGGTCACTGTAAATATACAAAAATAACTGAAAATGATTATGCCAAATAACATTACAAAGAATGTGCAGCAATATTGAAATGTCAGAATATGTTAATTACATTGAGTAAAACTGAAAACTGCACTTAAAGACTAAAAGGTGACATGTTAAAATGTTAATGTACGAAGTTTTAAGACTATTCGGTTATATAACAAATTTACCTCAAAGTTATATATTTTTCGGTAAACCATTCAAAATGCAAAATCCTGTTTTAGAGTCAATAGACTGCTATAATATATTAAACATTATTTTAGTTTTTTTGGAAGCATTTTGAAATGTTAGAGCTAACAGGATAAGTAAATTGGTGGTACTAGAGTTTTTTAAAAAGCTATGTGACCCTAAAAAATTGGAATCTATCTGGTTTGATGTTGCTTCCTGTGATTTCACTTTTTATAGACTGGCAAAACTGGCCTGGTCCAGACTGTAATGATATTCTTGGAATACTTGTAGGATAGTCCAAGTTTACTTAAGTTTCCTCTGAAGAGATCTAATAATCTCTCAGTACCTTCCTATTTCTTAGAAGTGTTTAAGCCCTAAGTTTGACTCTGAAAATTTTCTCATATCCTTGTCAAAAATCAGGGACTCATATGAATGAGTTACACACAGCATTGGCCTTTTCATAAATAGAAAGTTTCATTCAGTAAAGTTTTTGACTTCCTGGTAACCAGCCTCCATGTATATGGTATCCATTTGGCCAGCTGGAATCAGGAGTTTAAAATATTTTTAATCTTAATATTCACCATGCCTTTTTATTTATGATTTGCTTTTCTGTCATTTTATCAGAATGCTTGAGGCCTAGGTAGCTAGAGACACCGGTATAAATTCAAAACTCTTCACTTGATAGTCATTTCACTTTTTACAAATAATAAAGCCACTTAGCAATGCATATCCATAAGATATATTTGCAATCATTAGGAAATGTGGCATTAGGGATTATGACATCATTAACACTTTTTTTATTAGGTGCTACCTAATTTATTTTTAAGCCTTGAGGATATGGACACAAATGTTTGTATTATAGTCCAAGTAGCAATTAACAAGTGTAAACTCCCAAATACCCAAGGTGATGATCTTCAAGAGAAGAAAATCTAGTCTTAAATTACAGAAGAAAAATATTTAATACAAGGTTAAGAGCTGAGTCTTAGGAGTTATTTTCCCTTTGTAAAGGTTTTACATTTTAAATGTGTAATTCATTATTTTCAGTTTCTATCCCTGTGCTGTTTTCTACTAGTTTTACTCTTTTTTGTAGTTGTTTATACTGTTGTTTCCCATATTTTCTGTGTTTTATCTATACTAGAGAGGATAATTCTGCACATTCGTGATTGTTCTGGCAAATAACATAATTCATAGAATTGGCTAGCTTACTTTGTAATTGTTTATCCTAAAGCTTTCACTGAAGGGCTCTGTGAAAACTGTTAAATGTTATAGTCTTTGTTCCGGTGAAAAATCTCTGCATTGTTTATTGAAGACTAAATAAAAAGGTTGTACATTTAAAGTTGACTGTAGTATTTCTTACATTTTGTTACTTTGGAGGTTTACTTTTATTTGTTTGTTTATTTGAGGGGAGAGTGTTTGAGACAGAGTCTCACTATGTAGTTCAGGCTGACCTCAGGCTTCCAGCAGTCCTCCTGCCTCAGCCTGCCTAACAAAGTGCTGGGATTATAAGCCTGTGCCACCACACCCAGCATTTTATGTTTAATTTTAAGAAATACGTTAGTCAGGACTGGGGATTTAGCTCAGTGGTTCCAGCGCCTGCCTTGTAGACGCAAGGACCTGAGTTCCATCCCCTTAGTCAACCGCCATCCATTTTTTAGGGATGCCTTGAGCTTGACAACTTTTTTTTTTTTTTTTTTTTTTTTTTTTTTTAGGTTTTCCTATAGTCGAGACTGACCTGTGTAGCCCAGGCTGGTCTCAAACTCAGCGATCTTCCTGCCTCAGCCTCCTGAGTGCTGGGATTACAGGCAATGCACTACCATGCCCGGCCATTGACTACTTTTTTATTAAAAAGCAAAACTAATGAAATTGCTAGAATTAAGGGAAATCCGTTCATTCCCTAGATCTATTTGTCACCTATATATTTCAACACAAATAATGATCAGTGGCCAGGCATGGCAGTACACTCCTGTAATCCCAGCATTCTGGAGGCTGAGGGTAAAGGGTTGCTAGGAGCTTGAGGCTAGCCTGGGGCTACATAGTGAGTTCAAGGCCAGCCTGGAGTACATAGAGTGAGACCCTATCTCAAAAATTAAAAAAATAATAATCAAGGTCACTCCGGTTGATTATTAGAGAAACATGTCCATACTTAAACGTCAGGCTTTTGCTGATGTTTGCCATAGAGACCTCCTGGAAGGAGCACTTTATAGGTATTTTCATTATTAATAGCATTTGTTTTATTGCAGATGAACGCCAGAACTGTTTTACTTCAGTATTCACTATAGCAAAAAAAATCACAGATGAGAAGAAAGGACGATATAGTCTATCACAGTCTTGGGAAAATTTTCCTGTTAAGAGCACATTAAGTTTTCCCCAAAAGGATTTAGAATCAACACAGAAAGAGCTATTCAAATATTTTAATTAAAATATTAGAACTATCTGAATGTTCTAGTGTTGATGTAGAAAGATGGAACCTTACTTTTTTTTTTTTTTTTTTTTTGGTTTTTTGGTGTTTTGAGATAGTCTCACTATTTAGTTCAGATTGCCTTGGAACTCACTGTGTAGCCCACGCTGGTCTCGAACTCGCAGCAATCCTTCTGACTCAGCCTCTCTAGTGCTGGGATTACAGGTGTGCTCTACCACGCCCGGCTTTTACTTCATTTTATAGCAAATAATTAATTTAAGCAATATGTGTTTGCTATAATTAATCTATGTTTTACTGCACAACCATTGTTTAAAACTGGCATCTTGCATTTTTGCTAATATGAATAGACTACAAATTAAATTATTAATAATAGGAGTTATACATGATGGGGTATATAGATTAGCCAAAGTTTCTTTAGTTTATTACTCCTTGGTAGGACACATTTCTTGGCATTTTAAAATGATTAGTACCTTCCTACTAACCTTTCATCTTTCTTACTACAGTACCAAAATGTGCTTCAGCTTTTGCTGATTTCCTAGAAATTACAATTTTGGAGTTGCTAAGATACAAGCCAATGTGAATTTGAGGCAAAAGTAAGGGTAAGTGAGATTATATGTGCCTTTTCAACTACAGTTTTCAGAATTCCAATAGTAGAAAAGCATTAAAAAAAAGAAAATCATAAAATCACAGCTTGCAAAGCTTCTTGCTTTTTCCATGTTACGATGGGACATTAAGCACACAGAACCTAATTTCCTATATAGTATGGCAGGCCTTTCTCTTAGGCTTAATGAGGTCTCAGAATAATTATATGTAACATCCCACTTTGGCCGAGAAACTGAATTTCAGTCACATCTCAATATTCTCACAAAAGAATGTCAGCCCTTCATAGCTTTATTTATTTAGCTAATCTTTAGATAGACATGTGGATGTAGCCTACTTTTCTCATCAGTCTCATCAAGAATGTTTTATAGCTAAGAACTAATTCATATTTAGAGGAAATCACAAATATATTAAAACAAGGATATATTTGTTAATATTAAATATTAATGATATTGGTATATAGTATGCACATATATATTTTTTTTAAATCTAAACTAGAACTTTTAATTTTTCATTTGTGTTTATATACCCTGAAACAAAAGTTTACTCTTTAGGTAAAAATTTACCTTCACAAATATTTTTATTACAAATTACCATTCTCATGAGACTAAATCTCATGTTTCTTTTTATTTGTTTATTATTATTAATTATTATTATTATTGGTACTGGGGATTGAACTTGGGACCTTGCACTTGCTAGGCAGGCAAGAACCACTGAGCTAAATACCTGGCCCTCTTGTTATTTTTCTACCAAAATATGTAACATGCCAGTAGAGAATATTTTCTGTGTGAGAATTCACATTTGGAGTAGAGCTGTCAAAAGTAACAAACCAGGTCCAGGTGCTTATTAAATACGGTACAGAAGAATAAATATAGGACAGATGGATAGGATCAATATATGTTATATATATCAATATATATCAAAATGCCACACTGAAACCCAATATTTAGTAAAATCAATAAACACTAATAAAAACATTTGGAAAAATACCCAAATATTTAACAACTGTAAATGGCTACTTGAAAACTAGAAGTTGGTTTAAGTCACGAGGGTAGTTAAATAATTATCAAGGAGTTAAAATGCACACCAATCTTAAACATAATTAATTTTGTATGATTCCATATGTATAGTGTATCTATAAAAATTTGAATTGGCCAGGTGTGGTGGCACACGCCTGTAATCCCAGCAGTCCTGAGGCTGAGGCAGGAGGATCGCTGTGAGTGCAAGACCAGCCTGGGCTACATAGTGAGTTCCAGGTCAGTCTTGACTACACAGTGAGACCCTGTCTCAAAAAACAAACAAACAAACACATTTGGAATGAGTCTCAGATATGTAACAAAAATTGATCAGTTGAAAATTCTGTCTAAGTTATTTGTTGTCTCTCACAGAAGTGGAATGGATAAATCTCTTTGGTACTAAGAAATGAAGCCAGTAATTTTCATCATCTGCTTTAATCAGAATTGACTTATTACATTAAAAATATTCTTCAATGCTTCTACTTTAAAGATCTATAATGACATCAATGTATCTGTTAACCTCTGACTACCTTAACTTGTTGTCTGGAGCATGAAGTAACCTCCGCAATTTATGTATTTTTATTTGGATGTTAGTGTGAAGACTTCAAATTAATCCTACTCCCCAAAAGATACATTCACTGTAATTCAGTTCCAAATTTCCCATCTTAAGCATTCACGTTAGTAACACTGAAAATGTGTACCGCATTAAAAAATTGCACAGTTGAGTTAATAATGTAATCGGCCTATACTGTATTTGTATGTTGCATTTTCATTCATAAAGTCACACACTCCCAAACATCAACCTTGTTCATATGTTAATCAATACAGCAAAATAAATGAGGACTGAAAACACCTCCAAGCACAAACTGCCTACATCTAGTCTCCAATTGGCTACAGGTTGTACCCATTTCTGTGGTTTTATACAAGGTTGGATTTACATAAAATCAAATTATATTACTCTGAATAAAATCAAAACCCATATCATGCCCTCTACAGAGCCCCAAGAGTAATTTTGTTCCTCCCTATATCAACACTACCTCCTTCCACAGCCCTCTTCACTCACTGCTACCAATACTTTGTACATAGCTTTTTCTTGAATTTGCCAAATTTATTTTCATCTTTGTACTTGCATTTTCCCTTGAAAGGGCATCGTCCATTGTTTCCCCAAGACTTTCAGTGGCTACTTGATTCTCCTACTCAGCTGTCAACTTAAATCTCTTGCTCAGCGAGACTTTTCCTGAACACCAGGAAATCAGTAGACAAAGTATCTGCTTAAATGGCCTCTCCATTTTCTCTCATCTCCTTCCTTTCTTTTTTTTATTAACACTAATTCTTTTATCTGAGCACCAAACACTTTGCAGACTTAATCTACATTCTCCCACCCTTTTACAAAGCACCTTGATTGCTCTGTACACACATGAAATGATGATACCCATTAGCGAGTTACTATTTATTTGGCCTTTATTATGTCAGCCATGGTTGTTCCCAAATTTCTGCTAGTTTCACTTAAAATATATAGGTACACATGTAGGTATAGACACAGGTACAGATAGTTATACAGATAATGTGTATATATAAACTGACTACACAAATAAAAGATTATCTCTATGAAAACTTTTATTATCAGATATATATTTGTCACATCAATTTGTTGGATCATAAGTCAGATTATGTCAGTTGTACTAATTTTTGTAATAAAGATAGATGTAACATGAATATGAATGCAGGTTATTTTGGATTTTTCTAGGTGTTTTTTTTTTTTTTTT